TAAATCTAGTTTATAGTTTATTTAGCAATATCTATTCATATTTAATTTGTTTATTTTCCTTTTCCACAGTTTCCCAGAAGAATGAAAGCACTTCGACGATGAGATCCTTGCTTAGATTCCATTTGAACAACTAGTCGTCACGGATTCCGCACTTCGTCTTTCTTCTCCCACCACTCCGTGCTCTTTTCTTCAAATTGGAAAATTATTGAGTCACTTAAGGTAGGAATATTTGTCATAATAGTGTATTGTAATATATTTAACAGTGATCGTTTTGAGTATTGAGCAAATTCTAATAAAACTCGTTAAAAATTTAAAGATTTTATTTATTTCATAGAGTAAGTATTTACTTTTTCGCTTGGAAATTTAATTATTACTATTTACTTTTACAAATTCTAAATTAAAAGCTTTTTTACTGCAAAGATTATAGAACCAACATAAGTTAGAGTAATTAATTAATCTGGTATTATTATTAAGCATTATTGAAACATAAAGTTATTTTATGCATTTCTAAAATTTATTATTGGCTCACCTATCCATTCCTCCTTTCCCCAGTACCAACTTTTATCGCACCTTCTCCACAGTCCTAAAGGCAAATATGACCCTATATTCCTTCAAATTTTTTTTAGGTAGCTTAGACCGCCCCTATCCATTATTTATTATCCTCCTAACATATACTTCAAACATTTTACCTCCCCGTCACATATTCTGTACTATCTCATTTCTTCCTTTTTCCAATATTTAAATCTTTTACATCCCAGCCTTGCCCTAAATTTTGCTACCATACTTGTTTTCCTCCCTCCTTTCTAAACAACTGGGCACCCAATTTCCTTACTACTAAACCCTCCACAAAATCTTCGTCAACTTCGCCACATATCTTGGCTCTTCTATTTCTCTTATATCCTATCTCCTTATCAATTCCCTATGTTGACATCACCCTCAAACACTACCTCATTTGCTCCTGATTGATTTTTACCGTAATATCTTCTAACCCTTTTCCTCTCTTCATGGTATCTATTTTTCGTCCTATTTATAATAATTTCTTCCTCCATATTTCCTTCCTGATATNATTTTTCTATAAAGCCTCCAGCTGTTGTTTTTCCACCCATCGACATATTTCCACCCCATAAAACACTATACTCCTCACCATTACATTGAATACCCACAGTCTCTTACCGACATCATTTCTAACCTAACTCTCATACCCTTCCCATTATCGTCCTCCGCCTAGCCTCTTCATTTGTTATATGATATATATCCCAAATATGTATAATTCTTCATATTCTCTCTACCCCCTTCCATAATAATTTGTGTTTCCCTTGCCAATCTTTCTCTCTTCTACTCAACTTCCCTAAATTCCTTAAAAACGTATATTCCCCATTTTCATCGCCTTACACGTCCTTTTAAGTGCAATTATCCCACTTTTCTACCCTCCCGTTAAACCCTCTATCATTACCACTCCCCTACCCATTTCTTTAACTGTTACTCTTAAAATATTTGCCAACCCCACAAGCAATCCTCTCTTTACCCTACCTTGTTTCTCTGACCTTACTGCCCAATAGTGAAACTGAAAGTTTGATCGTTCATTATTTTTAAAATGTCAATATCAGGACTTTGCAGCTTAATTAGTAACAATTTTTAGTATTTAATTAGTGTTTCTGATAGTAATTGTAATCCTTGCCACATACTCAGACAATTTTCCAGTGAAAGAAAGGCATTCTAGTCCAATGTTTTAATTGCTCTTTATTTATTACATTATGACTATATAAAGCGCTCGCCCTACTTTGATATATTGTGAAATGTATTAAATTCCTTCAGCCACTCCCTCACCTGTTCCTGACTGATTTTTAATATCTTCAAAACCCTCTCATTATCTCCATCAAATGTACCTTTCGCCCCTATCTCTAATACCTTCTTCCTTCGTATTTCCTTGCTCGTCATCTTCCAGTCTTCCCAACCTCCCCTCATATTTTATTCTTTTTATCACATCTTTCCATATCTTCCCATGTTTAGTCTTCCTTCTTATTATATAATATGGTATACTTCCCTTTAATTGCAATACTTACTTGATATTATTTTTATATAAACCCTCCATCTATTATTATTCCACCTATCCCCANCAATTGATTATTTTTATTTTATTTTACTTTTTACATAACGTGCTTTCACCTAGTTGTAATTATAGCTATTTATTTTATTTTAACTTTGAATACGTTATAGCCTTGACAAAGCCTTACAAAATAATAATAAAAAAAAAAATTGCCCTTTAAATGGTTTTGATTTTACACTACAATCAAATAAAATCAGGGATGAAAATGGAAACTAGTTAATTTTTGCTTAACAGCAATGTTTAATAGATAATTATTGATCTTTTCTCATAAACCAAATTAAATTCAGCGATTTAGAATGCTTAACTCCTAATTATAAGTGTTGATTTTAGAATTTTTTCGACTAATAACAATAAATATTAGCAACTGGTAGTTCGTATAAAACTTTCAGTTTATTCCATGTAGATATTTTATTTCATAAAATGATGAATATTTGCTTGTTTGAAAGACGTTAAGCTCACAAACCTGAACAAAAAATGCGATAAGGTACATTCTATTGTAAGATATCCTTTAAACGGTAAAGGTTATTACGATTTCAAGTGACTAAACTCGCAGTTCCAGCACAATTTCCACTAAGAGCAGTCGACTGAAATAAAATTCTCGACGTATTAAAACAAAATTTCTTGCTCTTAAATTATCCTGAGGCTCCTACAATAAGGTAATTATTTATTAAATAACTGTATTATTTTTTATACAAACGCATTATATATTCGATAAAAATTAATTGTACTAAAAGCGGAAAGCAATATAATTAAAACGATACTATACTTAGAATTTATTATTTATTCTATTAAACAATGCGTTTTTATATATTTTTTAATTATAGTAAAATTATTATTAAGGACACTATGAAATTCTAACTAAAAACATTTTTATTATACTATTTTATTATACCCTTGTATAGGATAAGGCATTTAATAAAACTTAATTTTCACGATCCACATAGGCCAAACCACAAGCAATGGTAGTTTGAATTTTGAGCAAATTTTATAATTAGGTGTAACGTAAATTATATTAAAAATTATTTATTTTTATACATTACAGATTTTTTTTGTATCAAATAATTATTTATTTGNAAGATTTTATTTATTTCATAGAGTAAGTATTTACTTTTTCGCTTGGAAATTTAATTATTACTATTTACTTTTACAAATTCTAAATTAAAAGCTTTTTTACTGCAAAGATTATAGAACCAACATAAGTTAGAGTAATTAATTAATCTGGTATTATTATTAAGCATTATTGAAACATAAAGTTATTTTATGCATTTCTAAAATTTATTATTGGCTCACCTATCCATTCCTCCTTTCCCCAGTACCAACTTTTATCGCACCTTCTCCACAGTCCTAAAGGCAAATATGACCCTATATTCCTTCAAATTTTTTTTAGGTAGCTTAGACCGCCCCTATCCATTATTTATTATCCTCCTAACATATACTTCAAACATTTTACCTCCCCGTCACATATTCTGTACTATCTCATTTCTTCCTTTTTCCAATATTTAAATCTTTTACATCCCAGCCTTGCCCTAAATTTTGCTACCATACTTGTTTTCCTCCCTCCTTTCTAAACAACTGGGCACCCAATTTCCTTACTACTAAACCCTCCACAAAATCTTCGTCAACTTCGCCACATATCTTGGCTCTTCTATTTCTCTTATATCCTATCTCCTTATCAATTCCCTATGTTGACATCACCCTCAAACACTACCTCATTTGCTCCTGATTGATTTTTACCGTAATATCTTCTAACCCTTTTCCTCTCTTCATGGTATCTATTTTTCGTCCTATTTATAATAATTTCTTCCTCCATATTTCCTTCCTGATATCCCCTTCTTCTAGCCTTTTCAACCCCGCCCTTCCCTATTTTACTATCGCTTCTTCTTATATCTTTCCACGTTTAAACTCCTTTTTTATTTCATAATCTTGATATTTATCTTTTATATAAAGCCTCCATCTGTTACCATTTCCAGCCCCTCAAAACACTCTGCACCTCACCATTACATTAAATATCTCTCTCCAATCATCCCTACATAATTTCTAACCTAACTCTCATACCCTTCCCATTATCGTCCTCCGCCTAGCCTCTTCATTTGTTATATGATATATATCCCAAATATGTATAATTCTTCATATTCTCTCTACCCCCTTCCATAATAATTTGTGTTTCCCTTGCCAATCTTTCTCTCTTCTACTCAACTTCCCTAAATTCCTTAAAAACGTATATTCCCCATTTTCATCGCCTTACACGTCCTTTTAAGTGCAATTATCCCACTTTTCTACCCTCCCGTTAAACCCTCTATCATTACCACTCCCCTACCCATTTCTTTAACTGTTACTCTTAAAATATTTGCCAACCCCACAAGCAATCCTCTCTTTACCCTACCTTGTTTCTCTGACCTTACTGCCCAATAGTGAAACTGAAAGTTTGATCGTTCATTATTTTTAAAATGTCAATATCAGGACTTTGCAGCTTAATTAGTAACAATTTTTAGTATTTAATTAGTGTTTCTGATAGTAATTGTAATCCTTGCCACATACTCAGACAATTTTCCAGTGAAAGAAAGGCATTCTAGTCCAATGTTTTAATTGCTCTTTATTTATTACATTATGACTATATAAAGCGCTCGCCCTACTTTGATATATTGTGAAATGTATTAAATTCCTTCAGCCACTCCCTCACCTGTTCCTGACTGATTTTTAATATCTTCAAAACCCTCTCATTATCTCCATCAAATGTACCTTTCGCCCCTATCTCTAATACCTTCTTCCTTCGTATTTCCTTGCTCGTCATCTTCCAGTCTTCCCAACCTCCCCTCATATTTTATTCTTTTTATCACATCTTTCCATATCTTCCCATGTTTAGTCTTCCTTCTTATTATATAATATGGTATACTTCCCTTTAATTGCAATACTTACTTGATATTATTTTTATATAAACCCTCCATCTATTATTATTCCACCTATCCCCATATTTCTACCCTATAAAGCAGTGTATCCCTCTCCTACCTCAATCAACCTTACATATGTATAATTCCTTACATTTTCCATCTCTATTCCTTCCCATTATGTTTTGATTTTTCCTTTCCTATAAGTTGCCCTTCCCCTATAAGTT